CCCCCCCCCCCCCCCCCCTCCTCCTCGCCATAATAACCGTCTGGTCTCACAGTACCGCCTCGTGGAGGAGGATGGCGTCTTGGTTCTAGGGGTCCACGATTTCGAGAGGGCGACCGACCGCTTCATTATGATGCTGGTGCTGCTCTACACCCCCGGCTGCAAGGGCTGCGACGCTGTGATGGAGGAGTACCTCGAGGCGTCGGACGAGCTGTACGAGTACCTTGTTCCCGCGGCTAAGGTACTGTATGTGCAGGGGTCGGCTTGGAGGTATACGTAGCGTCCGACGGCGTTCACGGGCACCTGGATATTCCCGTGGCTGAAGCATGCGCAGGGTCGGTTTGAAGGTCTGCGTAGCGTCCGATGACTCTTTCGAGCACCTCGGTATTCCCGTGGCTATCGTATGTGCAGGGTCGGCTTGAAGGTATACGTGGCGTCCGACGGCCTTCACGAGCACCTTAGTGTTCCCGTGGCTAAAGTATGCGCAGGGTCGGCTTGAAGGTTTGCGTAGCGTCCGATGGCTTCTACGAGCACCTCGGCATTCCCGTGGGCATCGTATGTGCAGGGTCGGCTTGAAGGTATACGTGGCGTCCGACGGCCTTCACGAGCACCTTAGTGTTCCCGTGGCTAAAGTATGCGCAGGGTCGGCTTGAAGGTTTGCGTAGCGTCCGATGGCTTCTACGAGCACCTCGGCATTCCCGTGGGCATCGTATGTGCAGGGTCGGCTTGAAGGTATACGTGGCGTCCGACGGCCTTCACGAGCACCTTAGTGTTCCCGTGGCTAGAGTATGCGCAGGGTCGGCTTGAAGGTTTGCATAGCGTCTGATGGCTTCTACGTGCACCTTGGTATTCCCGTGGCTAGGGTATCCGCAGGGCAGGCTGAGGTAGGCATGTCCAGCAGGGGTGTGCGCCGGGTAGAGCAGCGACCGACGAGTTTTACGAGCACCTTATTTTCGTGGCTAAGGTGTGTGCGCAGGGTCGACTGAGGTAGGTATGCCCAGGGTGGTGGTGGATACATCGTACGTGTACGCCAGGAGAAGCGTGGGGAGACCATCAATCTGCAGGAGTTTTTCTTGCGTGCCTCTGAGAAAGGGTCGATTGTCAAGGAAACGGGAGTGCAGAAGTGGTGCCAGTGCCTGAAGGTATCGTCCGGCGAAAACTGCTGCTGCTACTGGTACTCGAAGTATGCGTTCAACAATCATTTTGTGTACTCCGTCTGTTGTGTCGTAAGCCAATCCGTGGCGCGGCAGCCGCAGGCATATGTTTCTTTTGCTACGGAGCAGGAAATGGACGTCCATTTTAGGCACATAGCTCGGGAGGTTCAATGTTACACCTGCATCCGACGGCATGCATGTGTACCTGATCCCCGTTGCTCGAGACAGAAGGCTGTTGATCGAAGGTACATACATGGGCTGTTACATAGCCGCAGCCACTAGAAAACGCTTTGTGTATTCCGTTGTAGATGGCATACAAGGATTTGGAATCATACAACCTCTGCATGTCGCCCGCGGCCTGGGCGTAGGTTTTAAGTGGTATGAGATCCACCCCGCCCAGCGTGCACCTATCCAAACGTCACAACCTGAAACCACACACACCACCCTCCGCAATAGCACAGCCTTGCACCCATCCAACACAACAGGCCGCTGTTTTTTCTTTCCTAGGGGCAAGGCGACGACGATGATGCTTGCTCTCAAAAGGCCGCCGTTTTCTCGGACACGACGACGATGCTTGCTCTCTTTTTTCACCCAACCTCGAGAGGCCTACCGTTCTTCTCTCTTGGGCACGGACGGTGCTTGCTCGCTCTCTTGCTTGTTGTTACCAACGGTGGCAGGTGGACTGCTTCCTGCAGGCGGAGCTGTGCCAGCGGCCCCAGTGGAGCGAGGCCGCCTCCGCAGCTGCCGCCGCTGGCGGCGGCGGCGGCGGCGGCGGCAACGACACCGCTACACCTCCGGCGGATGATGTCGTCGTGAATGGAAAGACGCCGATGCTGTTCGTGATTCGGAAGGGGGAGGTGTTCGGCTACGACGGGGACGCGGCCGCCTCGAGCGCTGCCGAAATGGTGCAGTTCGTGAAGGTTGTGGCCGAGATCGGCGGGGATGCTCTCGCTGACGATGACGGTGAGGACGATGACGGCTTGGGCGACGACGACTACGGGGATGGCGATGAGGTGTGGGCGTGTAGGGTTGTGCTGGCATCGACGGGGTTCTCCGGCTGACCAATGAAAATGCGTCAAATGTTGGAGCGGGGTAGTGCGCGTTTGTGTATTTTTTTTTGTGAAATAGCATCGACCGCACTACCCGTCTGACCAATGAAAATACGACGGTCTTGGAGCGGGATAGTGTGCGTTTTTCTGTGTTTTTTCGTGAAGTAGCACCGACCGCGCTAGCCGGCTGACCAATGAAAATACGTCAGTCTTGGAGCAGGATAGTGTGCATTTGCGTGTTTTTTGTGAATTGGCATCGACCGCGCTCACCGGCTGATGAATGAACCCGCGTCAGTCTTTCTGCGGTGGGCGAAGATAGAGTGATCTCTCTTCGGCCTATCGGAGACTGAACACACAGCTCGCTTTAATCGACACCGTCCCCGTCCGTATCCTTGGTGCAGCTTCGTGTTGCGATGCGCTACCTATGCTACATCTCGGGTGACACTTCTTCACCGCGGAAAATTCTACCGCAGGCTTTGACGGCAAACCCATCGCTCTCTCCGTGTCCCCCCGACATCATCGTCATCATCGTCAGGTGGACGAGAGCAGCGTGCTGGTGCTGGACCAGTCGAACATCGACCAGGCGCTCGAGGACGCCGACGGGGTAGGTGGCGGCGCCCTCCTGCTGGAATTCTTCGCCCCCTGGTGCGGGAATTGCAACCGCCTCCGGCCGCGCTACGCCCGCGCCGCCGACGCGCTAAAGAAGGAAGGGAGCCCCGCTCGTCTCGCAAAGGTGTGTGTGTTTGTTTGGTTGTGGTTGGTTGATGTTGGTGGTGGTGCAGGTGGTGATCTGCCGTTTTCTCGCTGTGTTTGTTGTCGCTGCTGTCGTTGTTGTTGCTGCTGATGTAAGGTTGCCCCCCCCCCAAAGTACAGGGCCAAGAGAAAACAAGTGAATGGACTAGTGAAAAAGAAGAAAAAGCGTTTTTGGGACGAAGTAGTGCAGAAGGCCAACGGAGGCCTGGAGGGGAACGTCAAGCAAATGTGGGAAGGGATTGGTGGAATGGTAAAAAAGACCGCGCAAGGGGGGGATACAGGGGTCGCAACTTTGCGAGGCGTGAACGGTGGATTAGTCAGCAGTGGGAAGGGAAAAAGGGAGAGTCTAGCAGAACACTACAAGAGACTTGAAGTGCCCTCGGGAATGAAGCTTTTGACCAAGTGTTTAAGAAGGAGGTGGACGCATGGGCCCCAAAAGAAGAAGAGACATCGAAGGCAGACGTTGGGAACGTAGA